CACTCACACTGAAGACCCATCAGCACTATAGAAGAACAACAAATCTTATCCCGAACGTAACGGTGGAAACAGTCAGGCCATATTGATAGACTGGCAACAACCCCGTAGAAAAAACAAACACAGCAAGATGGATTACCCACTATTCGTATCGATTTATTACTATCTAACCTGAAAGACTTATCCCTTAGACTCCAACGAGAAGACCAAACGCAGGATCAGGAACTACGGCAAACACTATCTGGCACACAAAGGTAGTCTCTTCAGGAAGATCAAGTCCGGCAATCAAATTCTTATGGGACTGGAACTCTTATACCAAGGGAACGTCTACTGTATCAAGTCATCGATCAGGTTCATAAGGAAGGCCATTTTGGTGTAAACAATACCTTCAAGAAAATCCGTGAACAATACGAAGTGCCAAGATTATTCGAAATCGTCCGAGAAGCCATTAAAACCTGTCAAGCCTGTCAATTCAGACAAAAACAGCCCAGAAAGCGAACTGTTGCAGCTAGGCCTATCCCCACACCATTAAGACCGTTTTACATGATCGGCTGCGATGCAGTTGGACCCATTGCCACCTCGAAGAAAGGAAACCAGTACTTACTCGTAGCGGTCGACTACTTGACAAGATGGCCCCTGGCTCAAGCTGTCCCCAACATTAATGAAGAAACTACGGCGAAGTTCCTTTTCGATAATGTCGTCCAACACTTCAGGGTCCCCTCCTTTATTTTGACTGACAGAGGCTCGAACTTCACGTCTGACTACGTCTACGAATTTTTGAAGACCTTGGGGTATCGACATACTGTATTACTACTACCGCTTACAGGCCACAGACGAACGGAATGTGCGAGTGCTTGAATCAAACACTTGCACAGACGATTGCCAAGATTTCTCGCGACAAAGATATGTAGGACCAGTGAGACGAATGTGTGTCTGCCGCCTTGATATGTCTAAGGACGATGACCAACGAATCCACCAAGTATATGCCCACAAGACTCCTCTATAGTTTTGAGTTACGAACACCCGCTACCTGGCCTGCACCGAGGGAAGACTTCGTCCAAGGTGAAATCAATGTGGAAATCCACAAGCATACCCGTATTATTCAACATCTATGCAGTACCCTTCGAGACGACGCCCGAGAGAAAGTCAAGCAAAAATAGCTTGAAGCTAAACAATGCTATGATGAGAAGGTTGAGTTCAAGAAACGTTACCAAGTGGGAGAACAAGTTATCATGAAGGATCGTGTCCTGCCGCACAAGTTTGCCGATCGATGGCTCAGTCCTATGATGATTATTAAGACCAACAAAGGAGGTACCTATTATCTGATCAGTCCCAACCATCGACGACTACAAGGAGCTGTTCACAGCAATTCACTGTTACCATGGTTCCAGAGAAAACGAATGGTCTCGGATGTTCTCGTTAAATGCACGCAAGACACTTTTCAAGCCTGGATCGAATGCACCACCCTGTGAAATATGGGTAACTTAAGGGGGAGGGGGTGATACATCGTGTTGTGTATGTTCCTTGGATTCTAGTGTCACGTGAGTGCACCCGTCGACCAACTTCTGTCAATGCGATTCATTCAATCCTCCACCACCTAAACGATTACAACTACTCCGATTTCACCTGTGCACACACCAGCACTGTTTACCTTGTTCACTCTTTATTCGATTTCAATCTTCTCTTTTTCATTTTTTTCTTTACCTTTCTCTTGCCCTACTTTATCTTTTTCTCATATTATTTTTATCCACTTTTGTTATTTCAGCCTTCCGATTTATTTTCATTTTCCTTTATAATTATCCCAATATAGCAATTATCACAGATCATATAAATATTCAGAGCTCTTACCAGAATAAAAGGAAGAGTTTTCGAACTATATACAACTTTTACTTACTCAAAGACACCACACGTATCATTCTTGTGAAAACCAAAGTTGTGCAAGCCTCGGCCGACTGCCTTTTTCGGATTTCCCTTGTTCTGGTTAATTTCTGTGGTTGCCTGAATTCGTTGGTCTTTTCCCTTTCTTTTGGTGTTTCTTCCGTGGTGCTATGATGTTTGGGCGATAAAATATCGATCGATTTGTCGGTTCCTTCTTTTTCAGAAGCGGAGTGTGAATTGGAAGTTCTATTCGATTTTTTGTGAAGTTCGTTTAACGATCTGAAATTATCTTATGATCATTACGCGTTCTGACGATGGCTCAAACCATGATTATTTCTATTGTTCTTACATATTATGTAATTCCTTAGTTAAGAAATTATAGTACAGTGAAAGTATTTAAATGTCTTTTAGAAATTTCTGTATCTTGATCCTTAAGCTTTTGTCTTTTGATCTCTTATTTTGGGAATACATCTTTTCGAAGATACACTTTGGACTAGTGCCTACATTTTTGGAAGTCTCTTTGGAATAGTCTGATAGTTTTTACAGTCGGCTATCACCCTATTCAAATTTACAGTAATAAGAAGTTAATATTCGGAGGAAGAACCATGGAAGTTCTGAAGCTAATCTTCTCTGTTCTGAATATTCTTTCTTTGGATTACTCTTGCATCAATTTGGTTACCACTCTCCCACCACACTTCACATCATGGTCTGGCTTGCCAGATACAGTGACCAGCAAAACTGTTCGAATGTTTGCGTTTTTTATATAAATCATCTCATAATTTTATGAAAAATCAACCTATAAGACTGCTCTTTACAGTTTTGGAAAGAGGTGACTGTCTATTTTCAGAATCATATTTTAGAATTCCGAAATACCGATTGTAGCACGAGTAATCTGATGATCAAAATTAAAGGTACACTTGAACAGTTTTGCATGCATCAGTCAAATTTTTAAATTTTGAACCCACAACTTCATCAGAGTATCCTAAGAGCTTATAATAAATCCTAAATGTAAGCTAATCTCATTTTAAAACTTTCGGCTAATTATTTAACCATCACAGTAAGTACATTTAAAGATTTATCTAACTACTGTATGCATGCAATCTCGGTAGAACAGCAAAACTCTATCATTTCATTTCTGAAATCTGGGAAATCTGGCCGTCAAGTGGCTAAGGAAGTTGGTGTTAGCATTGGTACTGTCTCTAAGATAAAGAAGATCTATTGTCCAAATGTTCAAGTATCTAAAAGTGATCATTCCAATGTGCTTACCAAGGTTGACAAGAGATACTGTGTTCGTCAAATTACCAAAGGTCGTCTGGATAATGCTGTTAAGGTGCAAAAACAGCTTCAATTGGATCACAACATTACTGTTAGTGTTGATACAGTCCGTAGAGCTTTGCATGAATCTGGTCTGGGTACCTTTGAAAAGGAGAAGAAACCGATGATTTCTGTTGCTAATGCCAAAAAACGACTTGCCTGGTGTTATCAATATTGCAACTAGACCTTGAATGATTGAAAATGTGTTATTTGGTCAGATAAGACTAAAAATTAATCATTTTAACTCTGATGGACATGTCTGGGGATGGATCCGTGATGGTGAAATGAAGCAAGCAAGACATGTCAAGCCTACTATCAAGCATGAAGGAGGTAGCATCATGGTGTGGAGCGCTATTACATTTGCTGGACCTGGCTGGTTATGTCAAATCAATGGCCACATGGACAAGACCTTGTATCGTGACATTTTGGATGATGAACAAAAGAAGACTATGGATTTCTTATGTCAACAATATGGATTTACCAAGGATCAAATTGTTTTTCAGCATGATAATGATCCTAAACACACTAGTTACTTGGTCAAAGACTACCTTCAGCAGCAAGAGTATAAGGTAATGGTTTGGCCTCCACAATCACCAGACCTGAATCCTATTGAAAACATGTGATCTCTCTTGAAAATCCGGCTAAATGAATATGACACACCACCCAAGAGTATGCAAGAGCTTTTTGAACGAGTCACTGATATTTGGTATAAAAAAATCACCAAAGAAGACTGCCAAAAGGTTATCAACACAATGTCTGATCGTATTGAGTTGTGTATTAAAGCTAAGGGTTACTGGACAGGATATTAAATAGTTAAAATCTTAAAATAAAGAATGCATGCAAAACCGTTCAAGTGTACCTTTAATTTTGATCATCAGATTATTCATGCTACAATCAGTATTTCGGAATTCTAAAATATGATTCTGAAAATAGACAGTCACCTCTTTCCAAAACTATAAAGAGCAGTCTTATACTATAGGTTGATTTTTCATAAAATTATAAGATGATTTATATAAAAAACATAAACATTCGAACAGTTTTGCTGGTCACTGTATCTGTGTCATCTACATTACAAGTGTTGTGGTTCTCTACATCGTTTATTCTGGTGTCAGCCAATTGTGCAAGTTTATTAAAATGTCAAGAAATTCAGGCTCGTCTGTCGCAGGTTCTCAAGAGCAACATGAAGGTAGTTGGGTTCCGGTTGTGAAGGAATCTAAGCTATCAATTATGAAGTTCATGAATGTGTTGCTGAATTTTTCTAGTGCTACGACCGGCAAGGAGGGAATTAATCTTTTTTATTGGGTCCGCAAGATCGAGAGAATTCGCTCCATGGCTGGTTTGTCTGATGAAGAAACTCTAATTATCGTGGCGGATCATTTGGTTGATGACGCTGAACATTGGTTTGAATCGAAGTGCTACTGTGTTGTGCATTGGGAAGAATTCGTAGAGATGTTTAAGCAGAAGTATGCTCACGAATTGGAAGATCATTGGCACAATCAGCTTTACGATATGTGTAGCAGCAAGCATCCCAAACAATCGGTAGAGACTACCTCGTTGCATCTTATTGAACTATTTGACCTTTGCGAAATTACCAATACAAGGGTAATAATCAAGTACTTTTTGGAGGCTATCAATGCAGATATTGCCTACAAGATTGAAAGCAGCCCGATTCCCCTTGAGGTGTATCAAGATGTGGTGGATGCTGCCAAGCGCATCAAAAGTTCCAATTATCGTTACCATGTTCAGCGAAATCCTGAGGTTTTTGCAGTGGAACATGGCCAACATCTTGATATCGGTGTCAAGCCCCACATGGTTACTCCAGAAGGTGAGAATCAAGAACTTTTCAAGCAAGATCTCATGAAGGAAATTCGCAACCTCAAGGCAAGTCTCGCTTCAAACCGCTCCAATAGTAATCGAAGACTGGTGTGTTTCCATTGTAATCAGCTGGGACATAAGAAGTTTGAGTGTCTGCAGAGGAAATCATATCAGGCCAACAGAACGAACTTTCCTTCCAATGAAAACACACAAAATTCGGGAAAAGACTTGGAGCGCCAGTAGGTAACGAGGTTACTGGTGCTCCGTATCAAGAAAAATCCTTGTTGAAGCCCAGTGGTGGAACTGGTGGTGCGAAGTCTGGTGCTTATTTGGTGGAGGCCGTTCCTTCGGTTGACATTTTGTCTGCTGAGAAACGCCGATGCATGGAAGATCAAGAACTGAGCAAGACAGTTGTTAAGACAAGTAAGACCGCCGTTCAGCCCAGAAAATCGCACAATCCCCCGAGAACGTTGGAAATCGATCTTATTCCAAAGAAGATCTGGGATAAATTGCAACACACCGATGCTGGATTAACCATGGTGGACTGGCTATACAGTATCTGGAATGACAGGCTGGAAACGATACTGTATTGCCGTGGGTATACAGTACGTTATTGGCGGCGAAGAAAACTAGCCAAGGAAAATTCCATGCAAGTGAACAATTTGGAAGTGCTCTCTGATTCTGAAGACAGCCTTGATCTTGGTTCCCAGGCCAGCAGTGAAACTGATTCTGATGTGTTGGAATGGGAGAAAGACATGGAGTGGGAAAGTGATACCAATTCCATCGATACGAACGATATGACATACCCTTATGATCTTTCCAAGATGTGTGTTGGGTCTCCTCTCAAGGGAAAAATTTTCATCAATGGTCATGAAGTTGAAGCGGTGTTCGATACTGGTGCAAGTGTGAGCGTCATCGGCAAGGATTTGAGCGACCGACTTGATTTGGCTACGAATGGTGATCAGATGCATTTGTTTGGTTTTAACATTGGTAACAAGGACCCCAGCGATATCACGACTGATGTGCCCATTTGTGTTGCTGGCAAGATACGACCTGAATATATGTGTGTTCAAACGACCAAAGAAAAGAAGAACCTTTGCCTGCTTGGTATCCCTTGATTTCATGCTTATGGTATTGAAATTTCGTTGCAAGATAATACCTTGAGAATACCTTGCAAGAAGGGTGTGGTGATCCTATAGTGCCATATGGAATATTCTGGTGCAGCAAGAAACAACGATGAAGTTGAAGCCTATGCCTTGTCCGTGTGTCCAACGTCATCTGATGTTTTCAATGTGGAAAACGACCTCAAGGATCGACTGGTTCCTTATCTAAATGATGTGACCGAACAAGAAGGTGTTTCCGACCAAGACCAGTAAGAAGGTGAGAAGACCGAGTTGCCTCCGGCTATTGGCTCTGTGGTGCGCACATATGATAGTTGTTTCGTCGAGACCAGTGATCTAGGAAAAGTCCAGGTTTTGGAATATGAAATTTCACTCCACAATGTTCATCCGATTCGTTCTAAGCCCTTCCGTTTAACCTGGAAAGAAGAAGACTATCTGAAGAAGGAGTTGCAAGAGATGATCGAGTTGGGGCTCACCCGTCCTTCTGCTGGAAAGTGGACTTCACCCGTATTTTTCGTTAAGAAAAAGAGTGGCGAATTACACATGGTTATTAACTACTGACGTCTGAATCAAGCTACGATCAAGGATACCTTTCTATTGCCATTAATTGACGAACTCCTGGACTCTTTTGGTGGTGCGAGCGTGTTCTCGACTCTGGACGTGGCCAGTGGTTACTGGCAGGTACCCATGGCAAGTCAAGATATTGAGAAGACTGGTTTATGACGAAGTTCGGCACATATGAATTTACGGTGATGCCGTTTGGCTTGACTTTGGCCCCTTCTACTGTACATTCCAAAGAAT